TTGCCTGAGCCCACGGGTTCGAGACCCGCCTGGGCAGCGAGACCTCATCTCTACAATAACCAAAAAAATCAGCCGAGAGTGGTAGTGTGTGCCTGTAATTCCAGCTACCTGGAAGGCTGAGGTGGAAGGATCACTGGAGCCCAGCAGGCGAGGCTGTGGTGGCCAGGAGCGGCCACCGCACTCCAGTCTGGGCAACCGAGTGAGACTCCAACTCAAAAATAAAAATAAAAAATTACTAAATTGTAGTCTTAGTTGTAAGATGTGGACAATTAGGTGAGAGTGATCAGTTCTCATCCTTATTGTGCTCATACAGAGTACCCAGTATTTTATCCATTTGGCAGAAGAAGTACGAAGCTTAGTAAAAGTGACTTAACCAGGTGGGAATGGCCAGTTCCCAAACCCTATCATGTCACGCAGGGTGTTTAGCATTTTTTTTTTCTTTTTTGAGCTGGAGTCTCACCCTGTCACCCAGACAGGAGTGCAGTGGCTGCTCCCGGCCACCACAGCCTCGACCTGCTGGGCTCCAGCGATCCTTCCGCCTCAGCCTTCCAAGTAGCTGGAACTACAGGCACACGCTACCGCGCCCGGCTAGTTTTTTGATTTATTGTAGAGAGGAGGTCTCGCCAAGTTGCTCAGATGGGTCTCGAACCCTCAGACTCAGGCAATTCACTCACCTCAGCCTCCCAAAGGCGCAGGATTACAGGCTGAGCCACCGAGCCCGGCTATGTTTAGCATTTTAAAGCTTTACTTGTTTGATAAGAGGGTGCTAGCTAGGAAAACAGGTGATTTAACTTTTTTGTTTATAAAATACAACTTTAGTGAGCCTGATATAACAAACAGTGGTGTTATTTAGCACTAATGTATTAACACATGGTAAAGTTGGAAGTAAAATTTTACTAGAGCACGTGCATGTTTCGTTGGAAAAACAGATTAAAATTACAATTGACCTTTTTTATATAACTTGAGAGAAATTTATTATCTTAAAAAACAGGGCCGGGCTCAGTGGCTCAGCCTGTAATCCCAGCACTTTGGGAGGCCGAGGTGAGTGGATTGCCTGAGCCCGTGGATTCGAGACCCGCCTGGGCAACTTGGCGAGACCTCATCTCTACAATAAACCAAAAATTAGACAGGTGTGGTAATGTGCGCCTGTAATTCCAGCTACTCGGAAGACTGAGGTGGAGCCCAGCAGGTCGAGGCTGCGGTGGCTGGGAGCGTGCCACTGCATTCCAGTCTGGGCAACAGAGTGAGACTCCAACTCAAAAAAAAAAAAAAAAAAAAGCAAGAACCCCAATATCTTTTTGTCACAGCCACCCCCCTGAGGAGAGACCTGTTAAGTTATGTGGAAACCTGAATGGACTTCACAAGTACATGTGGGGGTGGTGACGTGCTGCAGCAAGTAGGGCTGCTGCCAGAAGGTTATCAAACAGTGGACAGAGGGGGCCAAGAAGGCCGGAGGCTGGGGTCAGGTGCTATGGATGATAAATGAGGGATGACTCACCGAAGACGCAGAAAGGCATACCATGCAGCTGTTGGAGTTGCAAGGTTCTTCGTGGAATCGCTTTGCCAATCAGAAAAGAAAAGAACAAAGAAACCAAGCACTTTGTCTCCCACCTGTACAGGCGCTGGCGGTTCGAACTTTCCTTCGGGGAAACCTTCTTGCCTCCCTAGGGAGTAGCCCTAGGCAGAGACCATCAATTTTCCTCCGAGATCCAGCAGAAAACTTTTTTGTGTTTTTTTTGAGTTGGAGTCTCACTCTGTCACCCAGACTGGAGTGCAGTGGCCACTCCCGGCCACCACAGCCTCGACCTGCTGGGCTCCGGTGATCCTTCCGCCTCAGCCTTCCAAGTAGCTGGAACTACAGGTGCACACTACCACGCCCGGTTGATTTTTTAATTTATTGTAGAGATGAGGTCTCGCCAAGTTGCCCAGGTGGGTCTCGAACCCGCGGGCTCAGGCAATCCACTCACCTCAGCCTCCCAAAGGCGCAAGATTACAGGCTGAGCCACAGAGCACGGCTAGAAAACTTTTTTATTTTTTATTTTTATTATTATTTTTTTTGAGTTGGAATCTCACTCCGTCACTCAGACTGGAGTGCAGTGGCTGCTCCCAGCCATCATGACCTGCTGGGCTCCGGCGATCCTTCCGCCTCAGCCTTCCAAGTAGCTGGAACTACAGGCGCGCACTACCACGCCCAGCTAATTTTTTGATTTATTGTAGAGATAAGGTCTCGCCAAGTTGCCCAGGCGGGTCTCAAACCCGCGGGCTCAGGCGATTCACTCACCTCAGCCTCCCAAGGCACGGAATTACAGGCTGAGCCACCGAGCCCGGCTGAAAACTTTTTTTATTATACGGTCCAGGGGACTGGAGGGTTGAGAAGCCTGTTGTCCCATATTGTTAAAAAACCAGTAAATTATAGGAGACACCTGATGAGCATCAGACCTTCAACCACAAAGAGATAAGTTAAAAAATAACCCAGAAGTTTCTAATCTGGTGATCAGTCCGAAAGTGTAGCAGAAGCGAGCCCTGTAGCAAAGAACACAGTAAAAATGCAAAGGAAGGAAAGGGGCCGGTGTCAAAAGCAATCAGAAATTAAAGAGTTAGACTCTCGTCCTTCCAGGAAACTGGAAGATTGGGTTTTATGTCCTTTGACAATCACGTTTTAAAGCGATGGCTCTGTTGAGACTTCCGGCTTATTTAGCCATTAAAAAAAAAAGACTGGCATATATTTGGCAAGTAGAAGGAAATCTGAAAAAATAAGGGGGTGGGAAGGGAGTTTTTCTTCCCATATATTCCACAAGAGGATCCCTATGTTTAATTTGCATTTGCCCCTCCAGCTGCATCACCCTCCCACATGATAGTACCACAAGCAAGCTTCTGTACATTCCCGCGGTTTCGTGTCCACGTGGTCCTGGGATCTCCGCCGGCCGGGTAAGTGCGGCAACACCCGGAAGGCCCCCTGCCCCGGGACTCAGCGCGCCGCCTCCCGGCCGGCCTGCAAAACCTCCGTCTCGACCCGCAACTCTTATTTGCGGAACCCTGGTCAGATTCCTTGACTCCTGCCTCCAGGTCACTCAAAGGCGGGTGAGAGAGGCCGATGGGGGGACACGCAGAAGCCTCAGAACCCTGCTGATTCCCGACACCCTCGGACGTTCAGCTTCCACCCACCGCGCCCAGCGAGCGCTTAAGGCCCCGCCCCGCGGCAGCATGGACGTCATGCGCACTGGGCGCGGTTGCTTGGGCCCGCCCACCACTTCGGGGCCGTACTGCGCCATGACGTCAGGTGCGTGGTGGCGTGCGCAGCGGCGGTCTTGGAGGACGGCGTGTTGTCTGCTGGTTGCTTGCGGCGACCGTTTCCTGGGCATCTTCATCATCCACGGCCATCCAGGGCACTAGGCGGTGCCCACCGTTTTTTACGCCCAGGTAGGGGTCGTGAGGGCTTGGGGCTCGGTAGCAGGCGTCGCGGGAGGCCGAGCTGTCGTGGGTTGGGGCGTCGGATGCATTCGGAGCCCAAGCCGGAATTCCTTATACGTACTACTTTTTTGTTTGTTTGTTTGTTTGTTTTGAGTTGGAGTCTCACTCTGTCGCCCAGGCTGGGATGCAGTGACACGCTCACGGCCACCGCAACCTCGACCTGCTGGGCTCAGACGATCCTTCCAAGTACTTGGAGCCCCAGCCTTCCAAGTAGTTACAGACGCGTGCCACCACGCACGGCTAATTTTTTTTGGATGTATTGTAGAGACGAGGTCTCGCCAAGTTGCCCAGGCTGGTCTCGAACCCCCCGGGCTCAGGCAATTCTCTCGCCTTAGCCTCCCAAAGTGCTGGGGTTACAGATAGAGCCACTGCGCCCGGCCACGTGCTACTTTTTTACAAGGGGCCGTTAAGCATATTCGGAACATTTTCCCCAGAGGAGACTCGAGGTCCATGGGATGACTCACACGTGCTTCTGAGAGTCTTTCAGAAGAACAGTGGGGTTTCTCTTGTGACCTGCAGGGCCCTCTAGGCGGGATGGGACGTGTGCTCTGGAGGGACCTCACTGGGAGGAAGGGGACCTGTGACCTGAAACAACCTCCCTGGGAGTGATGGGATGGTGGGTAGATCTGCCTCGAGAGATGCCTTAGAAAGGTTTCAGGTGATGTGGGAAGCTAGAGCTGAATGGTGGCTCCGAAGCATTGGCTAGAGCTGACTGCATCTGTCCTTTTCTAGGCGGGAGTAGTGCCCGAGGTGACAGTCGTACAGTGAGAGGGCATACTGTCACAGAGCAGCCCTTCTGCAAGATGCCTTGGTAAGTTACTTTCCAGAGGCCCCAGCTGTCTTCCCGGAACTGGACCTGCATTTTTGTTTTATGGGGAGCACCCTCATCTAATTTATTTTGTGTGTCCTGGCCTGTACCCTAGCTCAGAAGTGTTTCCTGAACTGTAAAACACATGGGAAAAATGAGGGAGAAGGGCTATTTTTGTATAACCACAAGATGATATTTCTGTGGTCTTAATAAGGCACCACACTAGCATTGGTGCCACAGAGAATAATGTGGAAGTTGAGCATGTATTGTGCGATCTGTTTAATAAGGCTACCTCTTCCAAGACACCTTCCCTTATTCCCTCAGCCAGGAAGGGTCTTTTCCTGAGTGTTATCCATAGCAGTGGACTCCTGTTCCCTCAGTCTCCAGCAGGGGCTGGTGCTTACTACTGGGATGTGGGAGATTTGGGTGAAGACAGGTGGCAAGCCTCCAGCGTGCTTGGGTCTGCTGTGACCCTATGCATTCCTACAGCGCTTGCCAGAACAGTGTTGAAACGGTTTGAGGCCTTGCCCTGCTCCATCCAGAGTGAGGTTATAGAAGTTTCCGACAATTACTTGATTTCTCTTGGATCTGGTCGGCTGGACATAACAGATCTGCACTTGTCTAATGTGGCAGCCACTTGATACATGTGATTAAATCAAAATTAAATAAAATTTGCTATTCCATTCCTCGATTGTACTAGCCACATTTTGGGTGCTTAGTGGCTGCAGATGACAAGTGGCTACCATATTGGACTGCAGACTAGAGAACATTTCTGTCTTTGCAGAATCTGTTTTGGACATTGCTAAAAGGTGTCAAAGGTGACAGGATGTCATTGGGTGCTTGCTGTGCCCCAGACTCAGAACACATTTTGTTCTGTATCCTTAAAACAAAAGCCTTAAAAGAGTTGGAAATGAAGCTCAGAGGGGTGGTAAAGATAAGGGTTGATCCAGAGTAGAGAGGAACACAGAAGCGTCCTGCCTGGAGAGACTGATGGTACAGGATGTTTACAATTAGAAGCCAAAGCCAAGAAGACCAGGGCTCTTCAGAGTTCTGCAGAGGTGCTGAATGCCCAGGTGCTAATGGAGGGTGAGGTCAGTGCGTGCTGATCTTAGGGAAAGAACTCAGAGAAGAGGAGTGTGCTCGGATTGGTTCAACACCTGTTTCGTGGCAAGCCTCTAAATTCTTCACCTAATTTCAGTATTTGAGGCATCACCATGGGGTAGTTTTGGGTTCAGTACAGATGTGAAACCCAAGGTCAGAATTGTCTAAGCCAGCAGCCTGTGTTAATATCTTCTCTCTTTTTTTCTTTTTGAGTTGAAGTCTCACTCTGTTGCCAAGGTTGTAGGGCAGTGGCACGTACATGGCCACCTCAGCCTCATCCTGGGCTCAGAGGATCTTCTACCTCAGCCTTCCAAATAGCTGGAGCCACAGGCGCATGCCATCACGCCTGGCTGATTTTTCTTGATTTGTTATAGAGATGAGGTCTCGCCTAGTTGCCCAGGTTGGTCTCGAACCCATAGGCTTAAGCAATTCTCTCATCTCAGCCTCCCAGAATGCTGGGATTATATGCATGAGTCACTACGCCCTGCCTAGCCTGTGTTAATTTCTAAAAATGCCAGACCTGGAAACCTGAGGGGAATCTAGAAGCAATTGGGAAGTTTGGGTGGGAGAGAAGTACCTTTGTGTTTGTGTGAGGGCTGTTGGGTGTGGTAGAGGATAGGCTGGGATGGGAAGAGTTGTCAGCATGAGCAGCATAGCTCCTGTGTTCCTCTGGAAAGTGAGGTCACTTCTCTTGAAGGCAGAGGCTTCTAGCTGACAGTATCTGTCTCTTCAGGAGCAGTCACTGGACACCTGGGCCTGCTGTTGGGAGATGTTTTGTGAGCCTCATGCTTCTGCAGTCTGTGAGTGCCCTTTTCCCTTTTATCTTTTCAAGGATGTTTGTACAGCGAACTGCTATAAAAGGTGGTGCCTTCCTCCAGAGCAGAGAATGGGCATTCTTGCTGCTCTTGTATAAGATTAGGAGTCCTGCACTTGGGGTACCTTTCCTGTAACATAGCCTACTGCATGTGCGGGTACCTTGTGACTCCTCTTGTGTCACCCATCGGAACTGGGGGCTTAGGGAGGTAGAAGATGCTGATGTCGGGCTATTGCTGTGAATAATCAACTGTCCTTTGTCTCTAATTGAAGAGTCTTGTGTTTTCTGGCAGGCTACCTTGTTAGCTGCAAGGAGGAAGTTCTGCAGACCTTCCCAGTTCCTGGTGACTGCCTTCTCCCAGTGGCTCCACTCTGTGTCCCTGCCCCAGCACATGGCGTCCCTCCGTGTTTCCACAAGAGCAATCCCAGGATGCCAGAGCTAGTAGAAACGTGAGATGGTTTCTTCAATGGCTGCCAGGCTGTTCCATGGAACTTGTGCGGGGGTAAGTGTGCAGGAAAGGTCTGGCCTAGCAAGTCATCTCACTTCAGTTTTGTTTTTCCTTAAGTCACCTGGCCATAAAAAAGTAAAAAAGCATCAACTTATTCTGGCCTTTCCATGCTGTACGTCAGGTGGTTGAATCCCATGAGACTGTTTTGAGCCAAACAGTTGTCTAGGTTCTGGACTAATGGGCCCTGCTTCTTAGGGCTGGTATTTAACTGCCTTTATGGTTTGACTTCAGCCTGCCTTTTCCCCAGAGTTGCCTTAGGTCAGTGGTCAGTGTGTTGGCCTGGAAGGGGTGTGGCCTGCCACTAAGGTTGATTACAGCTCTCTCAGCCCTGGTGGGAGTGGATGCAGGAGTCAGGAAACTGGATTCAGTTCTCCTGTTGTCACTGATGTCACTAGGGGTTTATAACAATCCCTAGTTGTGTGGATTTCATCACTCAGTTTCACAACAGGCCTTTGCAGTGTTTCTAATCCTGTTTTTACAGAAGAGGTCATGGAAACTGAGAAATGAGGCCTGCCCATGTTGATACGCCCAATGAGGAAAATGATGCCTGATGTGGAGCAGAATTTGAACTCAAGTCTTTACATCTTAATTGTCTGAGTAAGTTTGAAACCTTACTTGTTCCCCTTCTAGAAGGAGTCAAGAATTTCTGGTTCTTGACCTGGGCTGGGGTTTGGGTGGTGGGACCTGATGGTGCATCTAACTGATATTCTCTCACCCTAGGTTCTCTGCTTCTGGAGTGAGGAGCCTTTCTGTGCATCAGGACCCAGTCCTTTCTGGCATCATCTGAATGAAAATGAGGTGTTTAATAAATGTGCTTTTAAATGAGTGATTCAGTACAGCCTCTTTCTATATGCTAGATGCAAAGATAAGGAAGACCTTGTCCCTTCTTGAAGGAGTTAAGTCCAAAGGAGCCCCAGTGTTTTCCATTGCCAGTATTCTTGCCTGGTAAATGACCACTTGGAATCTGGTCTGTGTGCCACCTGTTTGAACTGATGGTGACAAGCTGTAATGGTATTTGCCACAGAGAGATGCAAAGGTATTGTTATCAGGAGCTTTATGTTCATGGAGTGGGCTCCAGGAACATTAGACAGTTGGTTCAAAAGGATACCCTATCTCTTCATATACTATTAGATAACTTGCCTAAGTACCAAAACCAAATTACAGAAAGTAATACTCAGGGCATGTGTGATATGCCCCAGGTTGATGATGAAATTGTGGGCCACTTGTGGTGGCTCATACCTGTAATCCCAGCACTTTAGGAAGCAGAGGTGAAAGGATTGCCTGAGTCCAGGGCTTGGAGACCAGCCTGGGCAACTAGCCAAGACCTTTTCTCTGCAATAAATCAAAAAGTTGGCCTGAGGGAAGGCTGAGATGGAGGGATTACCTGAGCCCAGCAGATTGAGGCTGTGATGGCCATGAGTGTACCACTGCACTCCAGCCTGTGTGACAGAAACTCCAACTCAAAAAGGTAAAAATATAAAATGAGACCGAGTACAGTGGCTCAAGCCTGTAATCCCAGCACTTTGGGAGTCCAAGGTAAGGGAGTTGCCTGAGCCCACAGGTTCGAGAACAGCCTGACAACTTGGCAAGACTTCATCTCTACAATAAATCAAAAATTAACTGGGCATGGTAGCGCTTGTTTGTAGTTCCAGCTGCTTGGAAGGCTGAGACAAGGATTGCTGGAGCCCAGCAGCTCGCCCAAGCTGGAGTACAGTGGCACATTCATGGCCACTGCAGCCTCCACCTGCTGGGCTCAGTTGATCCTCCACCTCAGCCTTCCAAGTAGCTGGAACTACCGACACGCTCCACCACACCAGGCTAATTTTTTGATTTGTTGTAGAGATGAGGTCTTGCCAAGTTGCCTAGGCTAGTCCCTGGACTCAGGCAATCAGTCCTTTTGCCTCTGCCTTCCAAAGTGCTGAGATTACAGGCATGAGCCGCTATACCTGGCTACAGTCACTTTTCCTTTTTTTTTTTTTGAGTTGGAGTCACTCTGTTGCCCAGGCTGTGGCATGCTCCTGGCCACCACAACCTCGACCTGCTGGGCTCTGGCGATCCTTCCACCTCAGCCTTCCAAGTAGCTGAAACTACAGGTGCACGCTACCACGCCTGGCTAAATTTTGATTTATTGTAGTCTCAGGTTGGTCTCAAACCCGCGGGCTCAGGCAATCCACTAGCCTCGGCCAATCTAAATGCTGAGATTACAGGCTGAGCCACCAAGCCCAGCCTAACAGTAAATTTTCTACTGACAGTGAATGGAAGAGTACCCATAGGTGCCAAGTCTTTGTCTCATACACCAGAAAGGATGACACTGAAACAAAAGGGCTGGCAACAGGTGGTACAGCATCTCCCCTTGCTGATGAGCCAATTCTAGACCGGGCTTAGTGGCTCAGCACTTTGGGAGACTGAAGCAAGTGGATTGCCAGAGCCCGTGGGTTTAAGATCAGCCCCAGCAACTTGGCAAGACCTTGTCTCTACAATAAATCAAAAAATTAGCCAGGCACTGGGCTCGGTGGCTCAGCCTGTAATCCCGTGCCTTTGGGAGGCTGAGGTGAGTGGATTGCCTGAGTCCGTGGGTTCAAGACCCGCCTGGGCAGCGAGACCTCATCTCTACAATAAATCAAAAAATCAGCCAGGTGTGGTAGCGCATGCCTGTAATTCCGGCTACTTGGAAGGTTGAGGCGGAAGGATCACCGGAGCCCAGCAGGTCAAGGCTGTGGTGGCCGGGAGCGGCCACTGCACTCCAGTCTGGGCAACCTG